TTTTTTAGGCCCCCTGGAAAAGGTTTGTTTTCTTCATGATACATTTTGTCTTCATTAAGGGTGTTGATTTTCTATGTTAGAAATGATGGAAGTGAAGACCTTGGGTTGACCATATGCTGCCACACTTCAACAATGTGAGGTCACTCAGCAATTTTGTCAAGGACAGAACAAGATGGATACATATCCATGCTGGTTGTAATTTCTGGAACACATCTTGCGTAAGTTGCTCTTCAGGTTTTGCAGGTTGTAGGTTTGGGAGGATTTATTGCTGAGGGGAGACCTTTTTGCTCTCTGCAACTACCTGAAAGGAGGTTGTGGCAAGGTGTGGGTTGGTTTCTCCTCCCAAGTGACAAGACAAGAGGAAATGACCTCAAGTTGTGCCAGGGCAAGTTTAGATTGGGTATCAGGAAAAATGTATTCCCTGAAAGGGTTGTCAAGCATTGGAACAGGCTACCCAGGGACATGGTTGAGTCACCATCCCTGAAGGTGTTTAAAGGATATGTAGATGTGGTCCTTAGGGGTATGATTTAGTGGTGGGCTTGGCAGTGCTGGGTTAATGATTGGACTTGATCAGTTTAAAGGTCTTTTCCAACCTAAATGACTCTGTGATTCTAAGGAGATTTCTGTATATGTGTAAAAAAGGGAGAGAAGACTGTAGAGTTCTGCCTGTCTTCATAGGGGTGCTCTTGTCACTCTTTCTGCTTAGTAGTTTGTACCATTGTGCTGATGTGATTCTCTACCATGTGGTTATTTAAAAGAATTAAGAAGCTAAATACGGATATAACATTTGTATTTACATTACCAGTGTATTGATTCTTTAAAATTTTTCTGTTAAGCTTTTTTTTAGTATGCTATATATCTTTTCTATATATATAAAAATATATAGAGAATATATAGAGTATGGCTTCAGTTTTTTTGGAAACTCAGTAACTCCTCTAGGTCGCATCTGTGACTAAATGCATACATATTATGCATTAATGCACACACTTATAAGCACGTGCAAATGCAGACACAAGGCTTTGCTGCAGTATTGGCAAAGAACTGTCTTTTTACAAAGTTTCAAGTGCCATCCTTGGATATTCTTGGCCTAAATAAATGGAACTGTCTTTTTACAAAGTTTCAAGTGCCATCCTTGGATATTCTTGGCCTAAATAAATGAGCAGATATGTTGGATCATTTTTTTCCTCATAACAGCTTTTCTTGCTGTCAAATCCAGCTCCTGATTGCTGAAAGCTTAATGGTATTTTGCCTTCCTGTATCCTCCTCACTGCAGATATACACACTGCTCAAGTGCAAGAGCACAAACCTGGACACATGTGGGCAGCCAGTGGAGACAGCTCAGGCCAAATTTGAGGTGTTCTCCCTCAGCAGCACATTTGACCCCCACTACATCTTTCCAGAAGAGCGGTACAGTGGGGTGCAGCTGGCACCTGGGGAGTTCGAGGTGATGGGACACCCTCGTGATATGTCAGACTTGTAACACAAATGGTCAAAAAGCTACTTGTAGTTATCAGTGTCCTCTGTTTCATTAACTGCCTTGAGTTCAAGGCAGTTTTATTTCTATCTGATTTTTCTGGTTGTATTCATACAGAGCATCCATCTTGCCAATTCCCTTCTTCCCTGTCCCCCAAAAATCCCCTAGAACAAGATCTCCCTCAAGACAAAGTGTAGTTTTTTTCAAACTTCATGGTAGCTCCATTTGAGATTGGAGCTCTCTCACCTAGATTGACATTATTAAATATTTTTTTGTGTGTTTGCCATGCAATAGTACTGCTGTGATGATGTTCCTGCTTATTTTACTTTTCCATAACTAAGTGCTGTCTGATGGATGTCTGATAAGTTGGACTACTACATCTAAGCCAGTTTTGAGTGTAACACTCTTTGGGAGGTGGTATGATAAGGACCCTCCACACACACAGCAAGTTTCACCATGATTTCACTACAGATCCTTAAATATTTAATCTCCTTTTTCTGTAATGCTAATTAATCATAATGTTAATTAATGTTAAATAATACTAATACTCATAATTATAATGGCATTCTCTTTCTAAAGTTCCCTTATCTAACAGTATAGTCATTGCACATTGATTTATTGACTTGATTTTGCAGCAAAAATAAATTGCTCTGCTGGACGATTGTGTTTGTGTTTTTATGTAGTCGCTTTGGTTGTCATGGGCTTGGGATAGGCACTGGGGACAATAGAAAATAAATTCCTCTGACTTTAATAGTGTAGGATTTAGGCACATAAGAGTGGGTTGTGGCCCAACAAAAACCAATTTTTAATTATTTGAAATTTTTGATGGGGTAACAGAAGCCATTTCTACAATACTGTTCTGCCCCATCTCTGGACATGCACTGTTCTAAACCAGAACATCTAGAGGTTCTCATTTAATTTGAAAAAGAAAACAAGCCTCCAATCACCATTGATTCAAAAAACAATTATTCAAGTCAGCACACGATGTAATGTGTTATCACACCGTGCTCTAACTCACAACTAGAGGAGTCTACTTTGGATCTTTCTTGGCCACATTTTTAGGGTGTGGAAAATTTCCTTTCCACAAAACTTGTTGATAACCTTTTCCAAGCAGGCAAGTGGGTGTGTTTCAAAAATTCTCAAAATGAGCAATTTTTCAAGAGTATATCTGCGTTCCTATTAAATGGTTGCTCATGCTGGTGTGAGAGAGAGTCAAGACTGTGCCAGCAGGTGTTGGTAAGGGGCAGTGAACAGCTTGAACAGATGGAATGCACTGGCATGTGTGAGGGTGCAGGCCCTGAAGACTGTACTTTTTAGGCAAGTGGACTGGATTACTTTGTGTGGTGCTGCTAAGGTTTCTATGTGTGGCTAATTCTGTTGTTTGTTCTGCAGGTTTGTTTGGAATCAAAAACATTGTTTACGTTTATTCTGACCAACATAATAAAAAAACCAGACTTCCAGGGTGCAAGATACATTGTTTTTTTAACAAAATGAATGTTTTAAAAACAAGATTTTTGTCTGGAAAAGTATCAAATTAGAATCCTCTACAATTCATATAGTAGAAATAATGTACTCTACTTGTTCGTGGAAGGCAAGTACTGTATCTTTAAGTTTATATCTGTGCCCTAGGATATGGTGTCCTGTTACAGCTAAGTAAAATGACTATGTGCTGTTGCAAAAAATAAACTGCTTCTGATTTCCTTATTCCTGCCCACATGTACTCACTGCTGTGTAGTGATTGCATGGTTGCAGGTCTGACGTTTCACACAGGCTTCTCCACAGCAAGATTAACCCTTTGAATGCACAGTAGTCTTCCACACACTCTGTCTTAGCACAAGAAAAGAAGCAGGACCAGTCTGAAGACAGACTCCCTCTATAGCTAAGCCGATTTAGCACCAAATTGCCTCCTGTTTCACAGAAGTTCTCAGGTAACCGTCATCATCAGGCAGTAGCAGAGATGGGGGCGGGTACGGTACAGGAAGAGTGGATTGGGAGGATAGAGTTGTGGAAAGCAGACAGACCTCTAGATAAAGTTTCCCCTTACATTGTCCACAGCAACATATAGCCTGGACTATTGCAGTTTTGTTAAGTTTATTCAGTGTGTTTGTTTGTTAACTTGTGTTAGTTCCTTGTTCCTGGGTGAGCTCCCAGCCCTGCAGGCAGTAGGCAGATAGAGGCTCACTGTACTATGGAAACCCCCTTGTCCCGGCGGTGTGACTTGAACTTTGCAGGGCAGTAAATTTTTCTGTTTAGCCCTGCCAGGTCAGTCACTTTTCTGGCTGACGTCCTCTCTACTGCTAAAGAAGGGAGCATTTACTACTTCCTCCTTTAGGCTGGTGTCTAATTGTGGTTAATATGATTCAACACATATTTGATTTGGTAAGAAAAATGGGGCGGAGAGGAGGGGAAGGCCTCCAAGCTACATTAGTTCAAGTATCACTGAAATCTCTATTGCAACGTTTAAAAGGCTCACATTTAGTAATGTGTGGAGAAGTACTTAGAGGTGAATGTTACCAAATAGAAATCAATGTTCCCAATGGTTGAAATGCTCAGTCAGCACTACTTTTGCAGAGAACTTTGTGGTATCTACATTCATCCACAAGTCTGTAATTTCTGAGCCAGCTCTACAGTGGCAGTCTGTTGTAGCTGAAAGCAGACAGCCTATTCTGCTTTCCACTGTTCAGACAGCCTTTCTCAAGTGAGAATACTGCAACTACTAGAAAGACAAAAAATTGAAAATGTCATAGCAACAAATGCATTTGAACTGAGTTGAAGATTAAAAGTGAAGGCCTCTCAATACACAGCATGTTCCTGGGGACAAGAAAGGTGTACAGAGGAGCAGGTATGCTTACCGCTCTTCTGCTTCAGGTTAGTGAGAGCCAGGCAATGAGTTACTTACCTGCCTGATTTCAGAGGAAAACATTACCTCCAGATTTGTATTTTCTGATGGAATGCTGTTGGAAAGTGATGTACAGCTAAAGTGACTGGGAGAGAAACTTGGATGAACTCAAGGAACAGTTCTGTTGCTGGCATTTGAAGTATATGACATCAAGTACAGTGAGATGCTAATGCAATTACTTTGGTCTAAAGAAACTCACTGCACATACTAACACAACATAGGAATTGAGGAATATGAAGATACTAGCATAAAGCAGTTTTTAAGACCCTCAGTTTTGCCACTCAGACTTCACAGAACACTAGCTCCATGGGTGACACATCCACCTTTCACCTGGGTGAAGAGCGAGCCAACAGAGATAGCAAAAATCTATTGAATCAGTGACAGAGAAAAGTATACAAAAAAAATTGGACTGTTAGTTCTAGACATGTTTTTAATGACTTACTTTTTTATTGGCACAATTAGTCTTGGCATTGTCCAGTATTTTAGTTATGTTCAGTTGCAACATCCTTAGTGTGTGCTGTTATACCTTCCCGTATGTCACGCTTGGTTCCAAGATAATGTTTTAACAGACCAGCAGTTCCTCCCTCTTTCAAAGTTGAACTTTGTCCCTCTTTTCTTTTCTATGCATTTTCCTTTTGCACTGTTTTCCATGACTCAGAGTACTCCAGGAGCTGCAAGGCACCAACCATGCTCCCTTCCCAGCCTCTCCTGCATGCTGGGGTATTCGCACTCGCAGTCCTTCAGGCCCTTGCCTCCGACACCTTCATTGCAGCCGTCTACGAGCACGCAGTCATCCTGCCAGATCCCACTGACAAACCTGTTTCTCCCGATGCTGCTTTGGCCCTGATGAACAAAAACATGGATGTCTTGGAAGGGGCCATAAAGGAAGCCGCCCGGCAGGTACCAGATGTATCATGAGGGTTGTTAATTAGTGTTTTCTGCTCTGTCTGACCCCCCTGGTTATATGTTGATGGGTGAGCTTTTAACAGAGCTTGTTGTGACAGGGTGCCCACATCATTGTGACTCCTGAAGATGGCATCTATGGCTGGCAATTCACAAGAGAATCCATCTACCCGTACCTGGAGGATATCCCTGCTCCAGTGGTGAACTGGATTCCCTGCACTGACCCCTCAAGGTGATTCCTTCTGCAGTGATTTATGTGGTTTCAAACTAATATCTCATGGAGTCATGAGCAGCTCCCACTAAATGCATAGGAACTGCTAATGCTTTTGACATAAGTTTCAATTAAATTTGAGTTTGAAGGTAAGTTACATGATAAAATATATAGTGTGTCCATGACTAATTGGTGAGGGAAACATTAAAAACTTTTTTTTTTAATTAGACTCTTCAAGGAGAAATTCAAACAACATACAGAATTTGAGTTATGAAAAGTAGAGGAAATGTCTTTTTTTTTGGAAAAGCTTTGATGCCAGAATATGCTGCTTCTCATTCTACTTTCAATTTTTTCACATTATTTTGAATAGAACTGACTGTAAGTTATTAACACCGGGTTTTCTTCGTTTTTTGTTTGTCTTTTACAAATGCCATGTTCAAAAAATGCACACACACCATTTTTCTGGACAGCTAAGAACTAGTTTCTGAACAGCTAATAATAGAGGTGATGAGATCAGTAGTCAAAGTTCAAACCTCAGAGTGATACAAACCCAGAAACTTCTAATCGTAGTTTTCCACAATTAAGGTAAGATAAAGTCTGAATTGCTAGAGTCTCTGTGATGTAGAACATGATCTGTCATTCAAGCAGCATATTCCAACAGTGACAAACTAACCTGTAGTTGAGTGCTGGACTTCAGAGTCTTACAGCTTACACTTTAAGTGCTCAGCTGTGGAACTACAACCATGGTCTGCCTTCTTCACCTTTCTGCACCTTCTTGATGAGGAGGAGCTTGTTAAATCTGTGAGGATATAATTCTTCAATGGTTCTGAGAAGTGTCATAATGGGGAACAGTGCAGGATGTGCAACTTTTTACTGAGATATAAGTAACTAAAATATACAGCCTTTCAGTGAATCACAGAATCACAGAATATGCCAAGTTGGAAGGGACCCACAAAGATTATAAATTTCAACTCCTGGCCCTGCACAGGACCATCCCCAAGAGACACACTGTGTGCCCAAGAGTATTGTCCAAATGCTTCTTGAACTCTGTCGGGCTTAGTGCTGTGGTCACTTCCCTGGAGAGCCTATTCCAACACCCAACCACCCTCTGGGTGAAGAACCTTTTTCTAATATCCAACCTAAACCTCCTCTGACACAACTGCAGACCATTCCCTTGGGTTCTGTCTCCTCCAGACTGAACAAGTCAAGTGAGCTCTGCCACTCCTCATACAGCTTCCCCTCAAGGCCCTTTACCGTCTTTGTTGTCCTCCTTTAGATGCTTTCCAAAAGCTTAATGTCTTTGTGGAGTGTGGGGTGGCAGTGTGTCTAAGCAAGTCTTTATTCCAGTTCTTCACACAGTTTTGGCAGAGGTGATCTCACTGTTCTAAATCAGGGGTTTCATTAGCAGCTTTTGGTAATATAACACCTACCACCACTGTCTGGCATACCTCATTCCTTGCTGCTGTATGTGTATTTTGCATGATGGTCCTCCTTGTGTGGCCCATGCACACCTTACAAAGCCATATGCATTGCCACATTGCAGAGGGGGATGGCTGCTCTCTTTATGGCCTAGTATGAGTGCTTCAGATGTGGTGCCAGTGTCTGGCACATGGCCTGTTGCATCTTTAAATTAATAGCCCACTGCTCTTCATGCCATGGCTAGAGGTCTAAGTGCTCCTGCCCATGGGAGGAGGTGAATTGCCTTGACCCTTTCCTTTGCACTGTTCCACAGCTCAACTCTCTTAGTGTGCTAAGGGCCCAGAGCTATGGTCCTCAGGTGTCACTATGCCAGATGCTAAAATATTTTCCAGTGTGACATCAAGTTAGTGTCTTCCTCTGGAAGAGAGTCCTCTCCTAACCTTTCCCAACCCGAGGATTATCTGCTTGCTGCAGAGCACGTTCCAGGTGCTGAAGGTGACTGGCAGGCATGTCCCTGCATATGCCAATGGGAAGGGTCCAGGACCCACCCCAAGGTGCAGGAGGCAATCTGAGGCAGCACTGCAGCAACTCTGTGTATCTGCCTGCCCTGCATGGCTACAGGTTTGAAGGTGCAGCTCGTGTGCCCTCAAGCACTCCAGTGACAGACACTGATAGCACAGGTTTTGTTAATGGTTTTTTTTCCTTTTCTAAAATACATTAGATTTGGTCCAGCACCAGTGCAGGAACGACTCAGCTGCATGGCCAGGAATAACTCCATCTATGTGGTTGCAAACATTGGGGACAAGAAACCATGTAACTCCAGTGATCCCGGCTGCCCCAGTGACGGTCGCTACCAGTACAATACGGATGTCGTCTTTGATCCAGAGGGGAAACTGGTGGCTCGTTACCACAAGGTAAAGTGGCCTTGGAAAGGCAGGAACTAATTTTCCACTACTTCCAAAATGTCTCATTTGGAAAGAGAATTAGATACCAGTCATTGTCCCCTGTCAGAGTTTTGCTTCTGTTTATAATTTAAAAGAATCTCTCTCTTGCTATGAAGTATTGATGCCAAATTTGCATTTCCTGTCATGTTTCTCAAAATAGACTGGTATGAAAAATGATTGCTCTGGTGCAATTTAATGGCATATGATTTTGGTTGACTTCCTCAGATCATTAAATCCCTACTACTGGAAATCCTGCTGCTTAAGCAGCTTCAGTTTTCAGTGCCAGGTTTTCACCAGACTACCCCTTCATGTTCCAGGATTTGAAAACATTCATCTGTATCTCATTATAGATGAGTACTCTGCTTTGAGAAAGACAGGCCCCTTCCTGTAAATTTTTTTCTGATGCTACTTCAGTACTGGTTTTGTACAATGGGAATTATTTGGACAAAACCATGGACCTAAGACGGGTGTTAAAAGAGATGAGGGCTTTGAAACATTTGCACCCAATGAAAGTTCTTTCAGTATTATGTTCTTTCCTGCAAGTTCCATCAAAGTTGTTTATGAACTGTGTGCCAGATATCATGCCAATGTGGCTAGAGTGAAGTCAGTTGTTTATTTAATGCACTTTGGGCCCAGTGTTTCACCTTGTTGTTCAGAGATGATGCCAAGATATTTATTTGTGAGCAAACTGGGTGATAATGCGAGTCTGGTCCCCCCCCTCATTCCAACCTAGCATGACCCAGGTGCTGAATTATAAGTTCAGTACATTTGGACCTCTTTTCTGGTTTGGTGTCCATGTTTATTGTCCAGGCCACTTGGACAGTAATAAAGAGTTGTTAAAAAACATGTATGTGAAGGAAAAAGGAAAATGTTGGAAACCAAGAATGTTTACAAACTTGGATTTTTCTGTTGGCTGAGATCATCTGCCTTTCCCCCATCAGCCCATCCTTTGTTTTCTTCTCTGTTCTACAGTCTTCCAGTACTGTCTCATGCTTCATGCTGGTGTTGTGTACTTACAGTACTTCTGGGCATCTCCACACCAAGGTCACCAATTCTGTCTCTTGGCACCAGAACCTCCCTGCTCCTCTTAAATTATTATTATTCTTCTGTGGGCATTTTGGTCACCAGAAGTATAAACCAGGTAGGGAGAGTGGAGAGATTATTTTTATGATGACATCAGCAGACCTGAAGACAGCCAGCTGCTTTCCTAGCTAGATGCTAGGGCAATATGTGTCTCCCCATTTCCATCTTTTGGGTACTATGATCATACAATTTTAGCCTGACTTCCTGCATGTGAGGGGTTCCAACGCAGGTCAAAAATTTTCACAAGTCATTCTGAACAGTTTTAGGGAATGACTCCAGGATCTCACAGTAAGTGCCTCTAACTGATTTCTCTTTTTTCCTTCCCCTACAGTATAATCTTTTTACAACAGAAACTCAGTTTAATTACCCAAAAGAACTGGAAGCTGTCACCTTTGAGACTCCCTTTGGGAAGTTCGGCATTTTCACTTGCTTTGACATCCTTTTCCATGAGCCTGCAGTGGTCCTGGTGAGCAAGATGCAGGTGGACACTGTGCTCTTCCCGACGGCTTGGATGAATGTTCTGCCATTTCTGACTGCAGTTGAGTTTCACTCTGCCTGGGCTATGGGTATGCGTGTCAACCTGTTAGCTGCCAATACTCACAAAACCAGCTTGGCAATGACAGGTAATTTCACTCTGTCCAAAAAATCTTTATAACCGTGAATCTATATGTCTTGTTCTACAAGGTGATTTTGCAGAGGAATATAATGTGTTTATCTGGAAGTCTAGTCACCAAATTTTAAACCTGACAGATTCCATCTGTTGCCATACAAGGCACAGCAAAACTTGTAGTGTTTTCTTTGCCCTAGCTTCTTAGGATTTTCCTTTGTTCTCTAATGTCTCTAAACAATTAGTAAGTTACTTACTACTTACTGTTCCTTATGCCTGAATAGAAATTTTGCCACTTAGGCTCTTTTCCTCTCCACTTCTAAGTCTGTGATTGAATGCCAAACTGTAAATATACTTGTAAACCATGTACATGGCTACATTTATTCTGACCAAATTAAAGACTTATTTGTAGCCGTATTTAACATGGTTATGGAAGAGCTTTAAAAACAAACTTTCAAATCTGTTGCAGTAACACTGCTAAGAAGTCTACATTTTCACTTTACAATGTAGG